GAAAGTATGAAATAAATAAGTTAAACTTGTTAGTAATATTTATTTTTCATACAAATGTTAGAAATATATAGGCATAGTCAATATTTTTAATTTTTAAAATCTAGTGTTTTAATAATTGATAATGTGTAGTACCTAGCAGATTAGGAGAAAATACGGGTATGTACTCAGTATGCAAGCCATGAAACACATACATGGAGTCGTAAATCAAGCATTATGAATTACAATATTCTGTATGTTGTAAATGTCTTTTTGAAGGAAGTAAAAGGTATGCTCTTAAACTGTTATAAGTAGATAGAGACTGATTATAAACAGATAGAGAAAATAGCAAAATATTAATACCGTATTGTATCTTATTCTGAAGCATCAAATGTAAATAATCTTTAATTAATTGTAACATATCTTGATATTTATTGACGTCTTCTGTAACTGACAAAGCAGAGCAAATATTTTTATGGGCATGTTTTACAAAAAAAGTAAAATCTTTCCTATAGGAATAGGAATGAGGAATGTAATGAGTTAGGATCTTTTCCAGTTCAGACCATCTTTCTAATTTACCATCTGCCACAATCCACTTTAAATCGTTGTCACTTAATAAATTTTCACCTATATATACCGCAACTTTAAAATTTTTTGACATTTTAACACTAGTTAATATTTTTAGACCAATGTCATACGAGTCACTACACTCTTGAATGTTTAAAAAATACAAATATACACCGTCATTCGTCACTTTTTGATTCGACTCATTAAATTAATCTTGATGCTATAATTGTTAATAAAGTTATCAAACGAGTCTATTAAATCTTGTTGCACAAAGTCTTTTTCCAGTTGTTCCAGTTTGTGGTTTTCTCTATCAAAGTGATGTTGTCGTCTTTCATCTGGATCACTTCTATCTCTAGGTTTAGGAATAGACATATATGAAGAAATATTGGGGAAAATTCTAGGCATAGCATTTAATTTCAATTTGGAATATTTTAGTTTTTCGGAAACAACATGGCCCTCTTTGTCTTTCCAGGTCTGGTGAAGTATAGTATCTTCAGAATGAAAATGCTTAGCACACACAACAGAAGATTTTGTTGGGGTATACTTGTCTCGTTTGATAGCTTTTATCCACTTATCACATAGTTGTTTATCTTTTGGTAACGAAAATGTGCTTACAGGCCCTTCCAACTTCAGAATGCTGGTGTAATTACTTTGGCATCGAGGTACACAACAATGTCTTGGCATCTATAAATGAAAAGAATAAAACATTTAAGCTTTTGTAGCATTTCGACTATTACGATATTAACCGCAGAATAAACCCACAGTTGTTGTAAAAACTGTGATTTTATTGCCTCAAGGGTTAATATAAAAAAGAATTAAAGATTGCGTTTATGTTATTTGTTTTTACTTACTTTGAGTTTATTTCAACCTGTAGTACAAATATCAATAATATTAGTCCAATAAGATAACTTAAACAACTCCCTAGACACATAGAAACACTTAATATTAAATACAAAAATATAATTTACAAATAGCTGCCACATATATCACACATTTACAATGCACTGCATGCAATCATCTGGCCACATTCGAATCGAATAGGACTACCATATGACGTTGCCAAATTTCTACTTCATGGCTTGTAACTGTAGGAGGCTGTGGATAGAACCGTTCTCAAACCTTTTGTAGAGTCTTCGTAATAACAAAGTGTCCATCTGATGCACCGTCATTTAACTGACGCAATACTTCTGACACTTACTGTTAGGTACAATCAACTGAAGCTTAGATTCTGTACCATTATCGTTCTCAAAGGTTCTATTTCTATACAGAAGATCATCTTTTAGCACTAGGTAAATCCATTGTCTCCAGTAAGACTTTACTTCTGGACTACATGCACTAATGTCTTACCAAGTATAAATATATTTTTATTTTAATTGAGGCTGAGTTTTACTGGGTCTACTGTCTAAAAGAGCTAACTTCAATCAACCTTCCTAACATTACTTCCAATCTCTTCTCCTCTTAGACAAAACTAACCATCTCACGATCAACCCGCCCCACTCTCTTCTCAAACATTTTTAGCATCCAACATGGCAGCCTATCAAATTGACATTCTGATAGTTGATCTATAACTAAAAAGATCAAAAACTATTCTTTCCCCAAACACACAACAACCCACACGAAAGACAAACAAACATCAGCAACTCTAACCCCATGCCACTGGTCCCTAATTAGTATGGCAAGTGAAAATCCTTGATCTGGCACACTATCCCAGAGTGCCTTGAACAACAGTTCAAATGACATACTTGAATCTCACATGTCCAATCCCACAAAAAACCTAAATGTCTGGGCCTTCTCAAACATGCTCCATTAGACAAACACATAATCCCTCCCACATTGCCCTAACTGATGAAAACTCCCTGGTAATAGACACACCTAGACAACAACACCAGCTCACTATAATCCCTTGTTACAAATACCCTTTTAAATCTTTATAACCTTGCTTAAATATATATCTTCTGATTTAATAAGGCCCTCATACTCAGGGACATAATTTAGCGGCAGAGAGAAAAACCTAACGGATAGGGTACTCACCGCCCTTCTCCTAGACCTTACATTGCATAGAATCCGAAACTCTGAACCAACATACATAACCTTAATCTATCCATCAATGAACACATTATATGCACGATCAATATAATAGATGGGCTCGATGGAAAATGTACCATATGAGATTTAATCAAATCAGATCACCTTCCTATCCTAATGAAAAAAGCAATCATATCCCAAGATCAAACACTGTACCACACCTCCAGAATAGTAAGAGATTATAAAAATACAGATTGGAAAATTTAGACACATATTCTGACAACGCTCCTCAGTTAGGCAACCTAGACAACCAAATTGATATCCAACAGATGTATCACAGACTTACTAAAACTGATAAATTCAACAATTGACACATTAGTGCCCAACATTGAAATACATTCATTAAAGGTGAACTCCACCGACAATTCAAACAATCTCAAGATACACTCATCAAAACAGAATACAACTTGGAATTCAATAGATTCCTACACTCAACCCTTCCGCAATTTGACACGTGTGTGTAATCTTTCAGTTTAGTTTGTTTTCTCTGTCTAATCCCTCTCGAGGACAGATACCCACATACAAGTTACTTTAAGACTGTCTATGGTCATAAGTTATTATCCGTATGGTAATCCTAATTTAATTTGTGATGTTCCTAAGTCCTGATCTAACCATTATTTTACTCAAGCTTTTCAGGTGTGGAGGCAATATGATACATGTTATTGTGGATTTTACCAACAAGTTATAAATTCAATACAGCTCTTCAGGTTTTAAACCCCACATTTGGCTATCATTATTTAAGCTGTGTGTAAAGCATTATTTGTTCTATCTGCTAATTCCTAATAAGCCTGGGGCCAAATATTATCCCAAGATTTACATTTCTACTATTCAGGTTTAGATTACCTTATCCCTCTAAATTCATCTTTCTGGTAATTTCATGATTTTGGATAAATTTCAAGTTCATTCTATAATTACAGTCGGCCCTGTCATATTATATTTGTGACAGTGCTGTTGAATTTGATGTTTGCTAAGATGTCCACGTCATCCACATAGCCTATAATGGTGTAATTCTACTTCCACAAGACATTTATTAGTCTTTCGTAATGAAAGTATTTTTGGGAAATACCGTATGATACACTTTCTTGATGATGAATAAATACCATATGAATATTTGTTTCATTACTTCTATATTTTTCTATTAGCTGCCTTACAATGAAAATTTCATATGATATTAATATGCTTTGCACAAATCCAAACTGATTGTCTGATACATGCATGTTATCCAGTCACTGTGTTTCTATTGCTTTTCCCATATTTTCATGGTATAAATTTGATTTTTTTTTTGTTTTTGTACACATGCATTAATATACTACTCTCAATTCTTCTAACATTTGTTCCACCTCCAAAATTTGATTAAATAAGCCTGTCAGCCAACTTATTTTTGTTTGTTCTAATTTTCGGGAAATACCCTATGATACACTTTCTTAAGATGAATAAATACCATATGAATATTTGTTTCATTACTTCTATATTTTTCTATCAGCTGCCTTACAATGAAAATTTCATATGATATTAATATGCTTTGCACAAATCCAAACTGATTGTCTGATACATGCATGTTATCCAGTCACTGTGTTTCTATTGCTTTTCCCATATTTTCATGGTGTAAATTTGATTTTTTTTTGTTTTTGTACACATGCATTAATATACTACTCTCAATTCTTCTAACATTTGTTCCACCTCCAATATTCTATTAAATAAGCCTGTCATCCAACTTATTTCTGTCTCATTCAACTGTTATCACTTTCTTAATTTTTGTAGCGCATAAGTAATTCCTTTAGTAATTTTGGTGACCATTGCTGTTACTGTTACATATTTGCTAGATCGAATGGTTTTCCATAAAATTCTTTATTGAATAAACCTTAAAAGTATTTTTCCATAGACTTCTGACATCCTGTTCATGTATTGGTATAGGGCAGTTGAAAAAAAATTATAATTCTAAGGCATGAAAATAAATTTCTTCTTTTGGGTAGTTAGTCACTTCTAAACAAGAAATCCAAAACAAAACCTATATAACTATATTATAGAGAATGCATACAATTGTTAAATTTCTTTAAAAATGAAAAAGTATATTGTACTAAAATATTTTTTAATCTCAGTTACCTGTAGATATGATATAACCTAATGATATATGCGAAAAAAAGAAACAAATAATTATTTAACAAAGAAATTATATTCAACATTTATATAATATTACAAAAATTGTTTAAAATTTTGTCAAATGAGATCTAAATACATAATTATTCTCTGCAAGAACCATAACTACACTTTTTATGACACTCTCTTGAGTTTTCGATATTGTGAATTGGTTTCCAAAGAAAAACTTTATATATATTTAAATCTTAGTTAAATATCTATTTGAATATGGGATGGATATTGAATTAAAATATTTTGCTTACTGATTCCGTAATAATAGCTAAAATTAAAACATACTAAAAAAATGTTTCAATATTTCTTATGAAATTATTGAAAACATATAGAAGCTTTCAAGATGCAATCTGTTTAGATGAGTTGTAATCAGGAAGTTGTATATTAACCAAAGTAAAAGTCAATGTCTATAGAGAATAGGCAATGAAACAATTTATCTTTTTAGAAATGGTTCCACTAAATACAGAAATATATGCACAAATGCAAAACATTACCAGAAAATCTTCAACTGTGCATGGCATTTTAATAGAAAAACTCATATTAGAAAAAAACCTTTCATACTGCAGCTTTCTCGTTTCCTATGTATTGAACAATTGCTAAATAATTAATAACAACTTTACTTTCTAAATCTATTTTGAACTTATTTTCAAAATTTTTCATAAACTGTTCATTTCGGATATTTAAAATTTTAATATGATCATTAACAGATTTTAGAGCTGATGTAAAGAACAATATATAATTGTATCCTTCCTGTAGAATTCTGGAAAGAGGAGGCTGGAAGGCTGTTCCTCTAATTATTGGTGTCTCCAAATCCCAGTCCAAGTCTATTGTAGATTTTTCTAATATGGATAATTTGTTTTTCACCTCTTGGTTGGCAGTGTGTAACTGATCTCTACAAAATAACATATATCATAAATAAAATAATAAATCTAGAATTTTACTTGTTATTGTTACTTCATGAAAATCTGTTGTGAAAAGAAAATTGTGAAAAATGCAGTTAGTTCTACATATAAAATGAAAATATTTGTGTATGTAAAATTGTAATGTGCTTCTTGCAAAATTGTGTTAATCTTGTGACTATTAAAACAATGCAGAGGTGCACAAAAGAAAGAACATATAAAAAAAATGGTAAAATAAACTTACATGATTCCTTTGATCAATGTTATTTCATCTTCTATCTCTGAGAATATCTTGTACATAAGCTTGTCTTGTAAAACTTTGAAATTCTCTATGTAACTTATATTAGCCCTATAACCGAAAATTATATTATAATAGAATTTATTCAAGTTATAATACAAATTAAACGTATATTGTATTTGAATAATTTCGAAATGTAACAAATAAACAAACACAGTAAGTATACAACCAAATATACTCACTTCTCCACGTGTCTCAACTGTTCAGAGTAATTAACCAGTGCTTGTACAGGTTTTTTCGATTCATTCAATAAATTTCGCCATTTATCGACATGAGATGGTAATAGTTTACAAAAATTTACTAGATTTTTCTGCAGTGTAAGAATAATGGCTTGACTGTGGCTGTCTATTTCTACTTCTATTGTCATTGTCATATTTTTATTATTCAACTGAAATTTTAACAAGTGACAAAAGTGACCGTACTGTATGGTGCTGCCCTCTTAACTCTTAGGTTAATCTTGACTGTTAAAAGATGGCGCCATACATAGGAAATGAAAGTAGAAAACAGTAGATTGTATAAAACAAAATCTATTGTTCATAATGTATATATACCCATTGTCCCAAATTTATGATTACAATTTTTATTTTATATTAGTTTATGTTGATCAAAGTTTAAATTGTAAAATCACTTGATATAAAACGTAATTATTAAATAATACCAACTTATTTCTCTTAGTATTCAAAAAAATTGTATGTGGGTGTTTGCAGGTGTTTTATTTTATTTTTTTTTATTTTAAATTAAAGTGTCTCGACAACTATGGGCCATTGACACTGGTACAAAGTTTATTACAATATGTTTATGTTTACATACGTATACCTACACTCTGTTTACAAGTTAGGATACATTACAGTGTTTACAGCGAGGATGGTTTTCAGAAGACATCAGATATCCATGAGTAAGACGAGTGTGACCTATTCTGAGTCTTCTGATAATAACAGTTGAACAGTTGGTTGAATTGTGCGTAGTTTTGTATTTTGAGAGAAGTAAGACAGAAGTAGACGTTGCCGTCTTATAAAAATTGGAGGTTCTGCAGATTCGATATACCTAAAGACTTTCAGGAGGACTTGATTTAAAGGCGCCGAGGCTAATGCGTAAAAAAGTGTTGTGAATTGTATTCAGACTGTTAAGGAGAGTATTGGAAGCAGATATGTAGAGAATAGTTCCGTAATCAATGTTCTGTAAATTCTTAAGAGGATTTTCTCTTCTGCCCCCAATTGATGGTGAGCTAGAGTTTTTAAGATATTGATTCTATTTAGGCAGTTTGTTGTTGTATTCTGTATCTGATCTATCCATGTAAGTCTTTTATCGAATATTACTCCTAATAATTTGTATTTATCAACCACTTGAAGAGGAGATCCATTTAGGTGAAGTAGAGGAGGGTGAGTGTGATGTCTTCTAGAGAAGTTTATGACTTTAGATTCTCCAGATGAAAATTTGACTCCAATTTTAGTGGACCAGTTATAAAGATTGTTAAGAGTGTTTTGAAGTAAAGAGCATGTACTCCTTGTAACTGTCGCTTGGCAATAAAGAACAAGATCATCTGCGTATATTGAGTATTTTATTAGAGGGAGAACAAGAGAGTTTATATCGTTAATGCTAAGAATGAATAGTGTGGGCTGTTCTGAAGCTATTCTGGCCGAATCTGAGCAGATCAGAGTTTAGTCTCCTACGTATAGAAAATGGAAGTGTCGGTGTTTTATTTTTGTTAAATATGTGTCCAAAAAATTTAGAGTAGAATGGTATATTTTTGTGCTTATTATTAATTTATTAATATTATTAGTAGCTTATGATTGTGTGTGTGTGTTTTTTTTTTCTAACTAAGAGTAGTGTTAGTTAAACCTAAGGTTTAATTATGTAATCTCTTACGGTGCATTTTCCATGATAGATTTTATAGATTATGAATTTTAAATACTCTATTTTATATTAGTATCATTCTCTTTCCCTTTCTCCCTACGCCGGAACGTCAACCTTATTAGATTTGATAAATTTTTCTAGATTGAATCATACCAACTTGACATATGTCTCTTCTAACGGCCTACCACTATGTATTGTTTGGCATCCCTTTGTTTAAGCTGGGGTTTTATATTTTGGGATTGACTTATATCATATCACTTCCCTTAATAGATTTATTCCCTTAATAATTTTTATTTTTGTCCCTTTTAGTTAAAAAATTCCCTTTTGTTATTGAAAATGCCTTTATTTTTTTTTTAACTTCTTAATATTCAGTTCATTTCATCAAAGTTTGTTCTAAGGCGGAAATACACCATTCAATTCGGTTGAACAATGTGGATGATTCAACCAAAATGAACCATGTATTTTGCAATTCAATAAAAGTGTTCAACAAAATTGTTGAAATGAGTTGAGATAATTTCTACTTTCGTTCAACTTCGTTATACAACTGGGATGATTCATCCACATTTACTCGTCCATACAAGTTTTGTCGATTGTGTTCGATTCAACCGTTTATTTCATCGAGTTAAGAATCTTTTCATTTTGACTTGTGATATAATAACTTCCGTACGTACGTTTCGAATCATCCACATTGTTCAACCGAATTGAATGAAGAGTAAATTGAAGCGTGTATACGTATGCTTTTCAATTTGATTGAACAATGTAATTGAATCATCCACATTGTTCAACCGAATCGAATGGTGTATTTCCGCCTTAACATTGTTCCTTTAGAGTTTTGTCATTAAGTGTCCTTGCAATGTTTCAGCATTTCAGTACAACACACCAATCATCGCACAGTGTAAATTTAAGCTAAAAATTATTAAATAGATTAGGTTGATATATAGAATTGTTGTCAAAACTCATAACTCTCATTATTACTACAGATGGAAAGGATACACTAAATAAGGGTAGAATAAAATATCAATGTATAATTATATAAAATTTGGTAATTCACAAACGAGAGGGTTAAGCGAAAATGGCATTTCGTGACAAAAATGAGATTGTTAACTATGTAACTTGGAAGTTGTAATATATTTTTCATGCCGGTCGTAAATTACAGAGAAATTTGAGTTTAAATTTTTTATGATGTTCACCACAAGTGCAGGTGTACCGGGTTATTGTAAGGAGAAGTTTCTCTTTGATGCCGTATAACCAATAATATATCTCTTGCCATTAATGCCGATTGATAAAAAATGTAACATAACAAAAGGAAGAGAAAATAAGGGTTTTATTAAAGCAAACGAAACTAAATGAAATGTTGATTTGATTTTAAAAATGGATTACAGGGTACGTATGTACATTTGATTATTTGTGTGGTAGGGTTTTAACCCCAAAGTATTAAAACAGAAAATATTCTTAAATTATAATAGAAAGACTATTAATATAAAAAGAAATATGTTTAACAATTAATCCATTGACCCGACTTGAAAGTGCGTATTGGGGGCCCAAACAGTATCTTTCATTCAAAAACAATAACGTTTAAGCTAACATTGCAAAGACACAAGTATTTAGATATTTATAGGTATAAATACGGTACGTATCGGATCGTAGAAATGAAACATGTTAGAATAGAAGCAATTATTAATAAATAGGTACTGTACATATTAGAATATTGTTTCATAACAGTTGGCGTAGGTCGATAATGTTATTATTAAATATGTCACTTACGTCAAGAATTGATTTAATTAATTTATTTTGACTTCAAAGACATTACTTGGATTTTTGGTCATGAAAAATCTTACTTTTTTCTTCTTCTTCCTTCTTGTATGTAGGCTTTAGCCCGTTTCCTCTTCAATATTAGCCTCCTAAATTGTTTAAATTGTCGCACCATCTTGTTCTGCCAATACTTCTTCGTCCATTTGGTGACTTATCTCGTGCTATTTACACTATCCTGTCCTCTTAAAATCTCACCTGTTAACCAGATTTCGTTTTTTTTTTCGCCTTTCGTAGGTCGCCAGAGTGCTATTTTTTAAAGATGTACTGTTGGCTGTGTTACCAAAAAATATAAATAGCTGTTCTAAACATTTTGAAGATATGACTACTTCAGAATTTGTAAAGACCAGTGTAAAAAAATAATAACAATGAGATTGGTAGAGGAGTATATCCTATAATGAGTGTATCCTATATAAAACGAAATATTTTCCAATCGTAAGACTAGATACTGAAATCACTAAAACTTATTCCAATTGATTTTGCCTCCTAAAACTCTGTCACTCATCTCAAAGTTTATTTGGAAACTGTATCACGGCAATCTAGATAATTAATATTCTGTTTCCTGTTTCTTTTGTTGTATATAGTTTTTATATGGAAAATCTTCCAATTAGATATAATATCTGCCCCTGTCTGACATTTGTTAAAATTTTAAGTCAAATTTTGTATTACGTATGTCTCATATCCTAGAAATTCCACAAATTTATTACCAGGACCAAATGACTTTTTATTTTTCACAGGAGAACATGTATTAAAAAGTGTATGACTTGATATAGAATCCTGAGGCAATGCTGAATAGTATTAGAAACATATAATATTATTATGATATTTAATATAAATACTACAAAATTGACAAATTTAAAGTCTAGTATGCGTAAGTTTATTGCTAATGGTTTGTATAAAACTTACTGAGGTCATTGATTTAATGATTCGAATAATAACGAAAAAATGCAGTATTTTGATTGTGAATGATTAAGAAGGAAAAAAATATGCTTTAATTAATACGCTTAATTAATATTACGCTTAATTATTTTAACTTGGTTTTTAGCTATATTTTTATTATCTAAAATATGATTTGTAAATGTGTTATCAATACATAGTAATCCATTTTAAATGCTGATAGTCTAATATTTTTATCTATTGGTTCTGCATTATAAGCATAACATAATACGATCCATTAGCCTTTGGTATGTATTTAGCCTTTAAAGTGTCACTATTGCGAAAATATATAGAATTTTGACATTTACGTCTAGTTAACTTGTTTAAAACTCGATAATTATTCCTAGTAAGCATGATATAAAAACACACACACGCACACCACATCAGCAGGTGAAGCATGTCAGTGTTAAATCGTCAGTAATAAGGGCTGCCTTATCACGGGTAATGTCGAATGTGGGTGGCCCAAATCAAAGCAGGTGGATGTCATTGTTGTCAGTGGTTTTTTCAGTATTAACATCTCGGAACCCAGGTATCACGGAGGTAGATCGTATCAGTATATCATCTGAACGGTTTAAAAGTTGCCAGCACATTCCGCACAGTATTTGAAGATGCAATACGTCAGAATACGTCATAGTCGGAATGCTACCCATTGGAGTCGTAGCTGAGAAAAGTAAGACCCTTTATCGGCAAAGAAAGTCAGCTACAATAATTACGTTGTGCCTTGATGAACTTAGAAGAAGAGAACGACAAAACAGCATACGTTGATGGCAATTACAGTGGGATTTTC